TACCCAAAATAAAATCTAAGGTTTCAAATTCGTAGTCATCGCAAATGTCAAGTTTTTGATGAATGGAGTGGTTGTCGGTCAATCCTAGGGAAGGCTCTATTTGACCCGAAGATAAAAGTAGTTCAACTTAAAGATGAACGAACAACTAAAAGTGATAGGTTAAAAAGTTTTAACTTTTAGTTTGAGTTTAGATTTGAGGTGATTGGAAGGTTTTCCTATGAGTATGAACTGAAGGAATGAAATGTAATAAGAAGATAAGTTCAATGATCTTTTCAATCGAACAAGCCATCGAACGGTGACATAAAAGACGATGAAAAGAGTTGTGGTGACTATCAAGGTTTTTTTAAGGTTTCTTAGCATACCGCAACGGTTGTCGTTAATGGTTTAACAACCTAGTGACCGAAATGATTTTTTTATAATAATGACACCAAACTAAAAGAATGTGCGAGTAACTATGATTGAATGTATTATCAAACAAATTTTAAAACTATCACGTTAGTGTTTCTATTAGCTACTAGCGGAAACTTAACAATAGATCATTTAATTGACACCCGAATAAATTAATTAACAATTTTTTTAATTCAACAATTAAGGTATATCAGAATCAATAGTTTAGTGAAGTTAGAGTAGTTTACCCAAGAAATAGCATGGCAACCTTACGAGCAGGACTGCGTGTAGGAGTGTGTAAACTGATTTGATCCGATCGATTTAATCTATTAATTCGTTAATTCCATTAAAAAAATTGAATATCTAATCTGAATAATCAGATTGAATACGGGTTGGATAAATTCCAATTTCAAATTAACTGAAAATCTGAAGAAAAAATGAGCTTTTACATTTTAGATAGTTTTTAGCCCAATAAATGTGTAACCCTCTAACTCATTAACCCATTAAAACTCGATAAAAAATATGATTTTTTAAAAACAAAAACATAAAAGTTAGGATATTTAATTATTTATTGTGTGTAAGTAATTATACATACATACATACATACATACATACATACATACATACATACATACATACATACATACATACATACATACATACATACATACATACATACATACATACATACATACATACATACATACATACATACATACATACATACATACATATATATATATATATATATATATATATATATATATATATGGTAGATTATCGAATAAGTTACATTAAGTCACAACATATAAAATTATTTTTTGTCAAATTAAATCTTATATTCGGATCCAAATATTTGAATATTCAATTATTTTGAATCGAATATAAATTATTATTTTAGATATCTAAAATTTTTAGATGTAGAAATTTTCAGATGAGATCTAATATCCGAATTTGCATATTGGTGAGAAATAAATGCAAATGTCAGGTTGTTCAGGTAGACCCAACCTTCTCCTTATATCTAAAACTAAATAGCCACTAGGTTCATTAATAACCTTTATCCTTCACATTCTGAGAAATTAATAATATTTGGTTTTCTATCTTTTCATCTTCTAATATAATATAATATAATATAATATATAATAATATATATATAATATAATATAATATATAATATAATATAATATAATAATATATATAATATAATATAATAATATAATATAATATAATATATAATATAATATAATATAATATAATATAATATAATATAATATAATATAATATATTTAGAGAAAATGAAGTTAATCCTGAGATTAGCATTTAAAAGATAAGTACTAACTGTTAATAATCTCTAGTACAAGTAATTAAAATTTTTAATAAATCCTATTTTATTAAATCGTGAGTTAAATATTTGTTAAGAGTAAATTTTTTTTATTTTTCTTCTCTAAATAAAAACAAAATGAGTGGCAACTAAAATCAGTACCTTATCGCTCGCATTGGTTACATGGTGCTGTCCCCTTCATAGCCTTCACACCGGTTGGTTGAAATTTTATATAAATTTACTGTATTGATCTTATTATATTTTTTCTAAAATTTTATGAACTTATTTGTTATATAAATTTTTAGGACCATTCATGATAGAAGCAGTTATAAAGTTCGCATCAACTGCTCCTATTCTACACTTCTAGTGTAAGCCATACGTTAACACTACATCACACCCATTTTTCTTGTATTTTTGAAATAAATATCAATAGATTACTACAAATGTTTTTTTTAAATTAATTATTGGTATCCGATGTATTGATCAATTAATCTAGATAGGGTACTGGTAGAGGCAAGGGCGACCTTCCCAATCTAGTTTGCTCGCGACCTTCCCAATCTAGTTTGCTCTATTCACAAACGCCAGGTTTGAACCTTGACATTGCTTAAGGAATCTAGTATCTCATCCTACTAGACCAACTGATTGTTGGTTATTACAAATTTTTTTCTTCATTAAAAGTCAAACATTTTAAAATTATCACACAACAATTAAGTCTTGTTAAATTTATTCAAGTAAAGATCAAGTCTTTTTTATATAATGTATATTAAATTTTAAATTATATATTTTTTAAGTAATAACTGATTCATATAAATATGTCAGTATTTATTTAATTTTATACTTCAGATTAAGGAAAAGTGTGTAAAAAACCTTTATTCAAACATATTTGGAAAAAATTAACCCTTGTTTAATAATTTTTTTGTAAAGTTTAATATTTATATGAGTAACTCTGAAAAGAAATCCTAATTATAACATTTATCCTAAGAAATAAGTATGAACATAAAGATAGGGGCATTAAGGAAACCCAGTTTACAGTGACTGAAAAAGTCAGTTAGAAGAAAAAAATAGTGCAAATGAAATGAAGCAAATGACTTCTTTGATGGTACAAAACCATCCAATCCTAAGGTCCTACTAGAAATGATACTAAAAAATGCCATAGATGACATGGCCTCTTGAATGGACATAATTTTTTATATGAGGATTAAAAGTTCAAAAAATTGTGAGTAATCACATTTAGTTAGTTGGTCAAGTTGTTTATTTTTATTTCTTCGTATTTATTTAGGTTATGGGCTCTAGACTAATTAGGAGAACTCTTCTTCTTTCTCGTAGAGTTTCGTTTCCCTCTCTTTTAAGTGATATCCAAAGCTAAATTCACATGATATAACTTAAATGATTCTCATCAAAATCTATGAGTTTTTTTTCCAATTAACTACTTATATTTAATCTATTGATTGATTAATTCAGATTGAGTTTTGCTGAGACCCATTATGAGATGATCCTCCCAACTAATTTTACTCCAATCGCAATCACTAAGATTCAAACTCATGACTTTACTTCAAAAATACATTGTCTTATTCCACCAGATCAATTGATTGTTGGTCTATGAATAATTTTGTTTCAGCAAAAAGAAAATTGAAAAAATAACTTCTAAAAATTGAATAATATTTTTAATTGTGAAATTAGTTAATTTTTATAACAATAAATATCTAAGTTAAAATGTGTGGAGACGCACAAACAATAGTTCTGTGATCAAATTTTTCTATTAAGTAGAGAGATATTAAATTTTCATGGTAAATGTCAAGAATTAAACTCACATAAAGTGAGACAATAATAGTATATTTGACCACTCGACTAATTAATAGATCTTAGGTTCTCAGTGACCAAAATATTTTTATCTGCATGTGATAAAGAAATGAAATCTTATTGACGTTTTTATAAAAACAAAGTCATTAACCAAAATAGAAAAGGGACAATAGCTTGGTGACTAACAATGTAGATTACTCTTTATATTAATATTTAGGATAAACTATGCATTTAGTACTTAAATTATTAGTTTTAATCCATTATAGTACCTAAATTTTCAAAAAGAAAATTTCAAAATCATACTTAACGTTTAATTTTTATTTCATTTTAGTACATTGTCGTTAAAAACTTAATGGACTGACTGACGGGACATAGCTCTAGTGGATAGACAACCAATCCGAACAGTGGATTACGAGAGAATGATGAGTCGACCAACATAGTATAATTTCATGCCCATCAAACGATTGGCGACGGAGATTGGAGGATGAACAAATTGATGAGTACATCATTGATTTGGGGAGATTGGAGCATTTCCCGGTGAAACGGAGGCCGAAATCCCATTCAGGGGTCAAAAGGTGTAGGTTGAAAAGTTTGGGCTTATTCGGCCGATAGATACAATAACCAACAACTATAGACTCGACGACCAACAAGTTTGTCTATTATGTTTTTAATGTCGATGTACTAAAATGAAACAAAAATTAAATATTAGGTATAAATTTGAAAAAAACCAAAAGTTTAGGTACTAAAATATATCAAAACTGATAGTTTAGATACTAAATGTGTAGTTTATCATAATATTTAATATTTAAATATTTTATAATTAAAAATAAACATTTTAATTCATATTAGGATTGGACTAGCCTTTGGGCTCAAAGTCTTTGTCCAAATTTAGCTCGAATTGGGCAACCCACCAAATACATAGACAAATATATTAAATATCAATAAAAATATATTTTTAAGTTAGATTAGATATAATTTAAACATTTATTTTTACTATAAGTCTTTTATTAATTTAACTTTAAATCTGTATGCACAAATCAAATGGTTTATGTGATAAATGAATTGTTGTTGTCCAAATATGATTTGATTTTTTAGTATAATAAAATACTAATTTATTTATTAGAAAATTAATAGATTAATAATTTATCATATTTTATATTATCTATTAGTAAATTAGTATTTTTTAATGAAATATTTTTTTAAGATAACTTCTGAAAAAAAAAATATAAAAAATTAACAAGTTGTTCGTCAACTTATCAAATTGAGTCGGACTTTACTCGAATTAACTATTAAAGTCTCGAATCGAGCTCAAATTTGAGTTAAATCATCTCAAATCAAAATTTTATCAAATTTTAACCAAATTTAATTCAAATTACTCAACTCATTAATAACCCTAATGTAACATGTTAATTTGAACCAACATAGCTAAGAATTGTAAGACCAATACCTTAAACCCTGGCGCTGCGTTGGAGGTGCAAGTAAAGGAAGGGCTTGAGAGGTGTAAGTAAAGGAAGGGTTTGAGAGGTGTAATGGAGGCTGGCTTAGGGGAAATCCCATTTGGCATCGATTTTCATCCTTCAAAAGAACTCGTCGCCGTTTCTCTCATCACCGGCGTCCTTCATCTGTATTCCTCTCTCTTTCCAGTTTATTCCCCCTCTTTTAGATGATATTTCAAGTATAAATTATCAATTGAGTTCGATTCTCTTTTACAGATTCAAATATAACGCAGATAATTCATCGCTACAAAGGTACACATTCTATCTTTGTTGTTGAAGCAATTTCCATTTATCACGTGGTGAATTTCCAAAGGCTTTCTTGAATTTATTTGCTGTTAAGACTTGGGAGAAGTATCTTGGTGAATTTTAAAAGTTTTCTTTAATATATTTGCTGTTAAGATGCTTGGATATTCGAGCTCATGCTGAGTCCTGTAGAACGGTTCGGTTTATCAATGGCGGACAAGGTAAAGCATTTTCTTTTGTTGTCATTATTTCTTTCAGTGGATTTTTTTCTGATGCTGATTGATTGTGTTTGTGGATTCAGCTGTGGCGACTGGTTCTAAAGATTGCTCTATTCTAGCCACGGATGTTGAAACCGGATCAATAATTGCTCGTCTCATGAGTGTGTTCTCACTTTCTTTTGGTGTACATTGTCGTTTGATTTTTTATTTAAATTGGTTATTGAAATACAATTTTATTTGGATGTGCATGAATGCTATCAATAGTTTGATTAATCTCACAGAGTCAACTGTTGCCTCTGGAGATGATGAAGGCTGTATTAAGGTTCCCTATTACTTGGTTCTAAGGATTTTATGTGGTCCAAATGGTATGTTAAACATGTGTCTATCTGCTTTCCTTCTTTGCAGATATGGGATACCCGACAACGGTCATGCTCTGGCTCCTTTAATGCTCATGAAGACTACATTTCAGATATGAATTTTGTACCTGATTCCATGAAATTGCTAACAAGGTATCTGCCTTTGCAATCATCTTAAAATATTTCCCATTTCTGAACTTCTGCGAGATCTTTCAAAAACTATTCTGATTTAGGTCAACTGACGATTGCAAGAGATTTTTGTTTCCTTCTTCTTTCCAATTAGAATTGATATATGCGAGATAAATGCCAATTGAAATTATTTGTAGCTCAAGAAGATGCTTGTTCAAGAGAAAAATGAGTGTTTTTATTGGGAAGATTTTAATAAAAAAGAAGGGATAAGAATAACTATAATTCTTTCTTTTCTTTCATTATTCTCCTTTTGCAGTAGATCTGATTTACTCCATTTTCCTTCTTTACTTTGTTCTTGATTACTCTGTCATTCCTCTCTACGAATGTCCTTCCTAATGGTTTTGTCTATGCTTAACATTTCTTTATTTCTTATTGTTAAGTGGAGATGGGACTCTATCTGTTTGCAATCTTCGAACGTATAAAGTAAGCTCTTGCTTGGAACCTTTCTAAAATGTACATGTATCTGATTGCAGTATGGATTTGGACATTTGATTTATTGATTCATTTTTCTATTGATCATAGGTTCAAACACGCTCTGAATTTTCTGAAGATGAGCTTACTTCTGTCGTCGTTATGAAGTTATGTGCATTCATTTAATTGTTCAATGATCGGATTTTATGGCTGCATCTAATGTACTTTTGGCCAAACCTCTCTAAAAGCCACTCTATCTTTACTAAATTTGCATTTTAACCATGTTACTTTACTTTATCATTTCTTCTATCGCACTTACATTATCAGGTCGGTTAAACCTCTCGGATAACTGAATATGTAAAGCCTTCATAAAAAATGGTGATGTAGATAAAAAAATTCCAAACTAGTGACATGGGAAGGGGGGGGGGGAACCCCATTTCGCTGGTGATGTGGTGAAATAGGAAAGAAGTTATTGCATTCAAGCTACCATGTTTTAAATAACAGAGATTTTATATGAGACTTAATTATTGTTTTTCATTGATTCATTTTTATTTTGAAGTAATTCATTTAATCATATATAAATTTATTTTTTCATTTAACCATAGTTAAACTTTACTGAATGTCATAATAACTGAATCTATTGTAGTTTAATTTAGATTAAAGGAGACCTGGATTGAATTTAGTTTCATTTAAGAAGACAAAGAAAAAGGTTGGAAAAGGATAAAAGAAGTGGGTAGTTGAGTGGGGGGTTGGGCCCATGCTGGACCAATGAGATAGTGTTGAACTATTCTGTTATCATCCCTCGTGTGATAGTCAGAGGCAATGGATGTTTTGGCCACCCTCTCCAAATGCAAGCCCAAATTATCCATCACCTGGAAAATAAAGTAGCAACAATTAACAGAGACTTCCTATCAGTAAGATTTTTTAATCCAGACTTGTGAAGATTGAGAATCAGATTCCTAGGGCATGTGAGGCATTTGTTCATCTTCGAAAATTTTCAAGTTGGATTCAGTGGGATCCAGTTTTTCTTCTTTTGATTTTACCATTTTAGACGGTGTTGCCAAGGGTGCAAGGTGCACTCCTGGGCGCTAGAACCTTTATGTTGCCTCAGGTGCAAAAGAAGCGCCCACTTGAGTAAAGTAAGGCACAATATGTATATGGATTTGTAGTTATGTGTGTGCACACACACACATATATATATATATATATATATATATATGGAATCCTTGCTTGCAAATGTTAAAGGTTTTGGCTCTCTGCACATTTCCCAACACCAATCATCATAAAAGTACAAATTGTACTTTATATGGAATCCTTATTTTTGTTGTACATCAGCATAGATTATATGGCAATTTAATTGCAAAAATACCATGGACCTTTTTCTTCTGAGGGTTTTTGGATAATAAATTTTGATAAAGGAAAGGAAACAAAATAGGCTGTGAGGAATTAATTTCTGGGATTATCTTGGTTCTGCTTACTCTGAAGATATGAGAGAAACTCTTTCCTTTCTAAGAGAAATTATTTGTCTTTCCATTCATGAGTAATGGTGTTTTCTGTTAAAAAACAAATAAATGCATTGCTTATAATAACTCATTATTGTGAGAGTTTGAATATAGTTCTCATAATCTAGCTTTCCCTTTCTTGTCCCAACTTTATCTTAGTATGCCTTTTATAATGTCAGAATGGTCGGAAAGTTATTTGTGGATCACAAAGTGGAACTATGCTGTTATATTCATGGGGATTTTTTAAGGACTGCAGGTATTGTGCATTACAAAACAGCACTTGCTATTTCTCTGAATCCTCCATGATTTTGAATTACTTTCTTCCCTTCCCCCACCCAACCTTCCTCTCTCTCTCTCTCTCTGATGTTTTCACCATATGTTGTTCCCTAATAATACATTTGGTTGTTTAGTGATCGATTCATTGATCTTTCTCCAAATTCTGTTGAGGCCTTGTTGAAGGTAAGCTGGTTTCCAGATTCTTGTAGTATCAGTTGGCTTGAGATAATCAATAAACATTTTACATTTTAATATTTGTTGTGTCAGCTTGATGAAGATAGACTCATTGCAGGCACTGAGAGTGGACTCATCAGGTGAGGCATGAGCATGGAAGGAGATATTTATTTACATGTTGATTTGATCTGCCTTCTCTAACATTGATTTAAATTTGTTTGGATTTTTCCCCAGCCTAGTAGGCATATTACCTAACAGAATCATACAACCAATTGCAGAGCATTCAGAATATCCAGTTGAGGGACTTGGTACATTTCGTTCCCCCTTTCTTATCAATGTTTTTGTTAACTATGTTCTCTTTTCGACCTCTAGGTACAATTAATCTGACCTTTGGGCATGGCTAATTTTACGAAGGTGTCTCTTTTCTATGCTGTTATAACTATCTGCATTTGATTTCAAAAGTTAATAGCAGAAAGTAGCATTTTGATACAAAAGCAATTTCTCTTTTTTAGAATTTCAAATTATAAAATTTGACAAAGAAAAGTATTATTTTACTTATATTTTGAACCTTTATATTTGGGTTTGTTGTTCCTTTTAACTGAATGTAAAATTGTTCTGTTTGTCTCTGCTTTATCACAAAAGATAAGCAAATGGCAAACATACAAATGCTGGTCTCAGAAGTTGCAATAAAGCAGTGCCTATGAGGGCTATAATTATAGCTGTTTAATGTTGGCATGTTTTATGAGCTTTTGTCTATATGAACGTATGTTACATGTGTTTGCTTTATTAGTAAACTAGGAAAGCAAGAGGCCAATATTTAAAAGCTGGTGTGAAAAGTGAGATGCTGGTTTTGCCTAGTGGCCGCTTAATATTAGCATGCTCTATATCCCTGTTCAAGCAGACAAAAAACGCCATCTTTTCTCAGCGTCCGGGCTTACTTTTATATAACGGTGTAAGAGGTGTTGTTAATTGGTGTTCTCATGAACAACCGACTACACTCTTAATTCAAAATCGGATCTGTGCTTTAAGCTTTGTATTCTTTGCTCTTAGAGTTGGTCATTTTCTTTCTATGCTTTTTTTTTTGATAGGAATAAAAGGCCTCAATAAACCCCCTTGGTGGTTAACGGAACTTAAAATAGTCCTTATCCACACAAGGAGGAAAGGAGTGCCCTAGGATTCAATAAACTCAAATATAACAAAGTAATACAAACCATCTCCTCAAGAGATATAAACAAAAAGAAACAGCCCTTACAGAGCATAATTCAACCAATACCCGCCTTAGCTAGGACATCGCCTCTATATTGGCTGTCCTACTAACCCAACTAATAAAACCTTCAAAAACACTAAGCTTTTGAATAATGTCTTTAACTATTTGAACATAAACAACAGGACAAGAGACCACATCCTTAATCCAGCCAACTGCCACCTGACTATCACTCTCAATAATCAATCTATCTTTAACCCTATGACGAATAGATTCAAAAAATCTAAACCCTTTAGGATAGCCTTCAATTCCATTAAAGTGGGGCCCCGGACCAGCCGGCTCTTGAAGGAGCCAAGAATCGAACTAGACATGTCTTTCAAAATACCACCTAAGCCACTCCTCTTCCAATCACTTGAGGTAGCCGCATCCACATTAGTTTAACAAAACCTTTTGGAGGAGGGGACCAAGGAAACACGGTTGAAACCCGATAAGAATGGGATGAGTAGGAATCCACTATGGAAGGGTCAGCAATAATATCATCCTTGGAAATAGTAACTTGAGTTTCCTTAGCTAGAAACCATGAAGCAAGCCTGCACCTAGCTAGAAAGAAAATCTCTGCTCGGTCAAGTTCCCTCCTTCAAACACAATAAAATTCCTGGTCTTCCAAATTGTCCATAGAACAGCCAGGAATAAATGGCCAGATAAGAGAGTTGGTCTTCAAGTCATTCCAAGCCAATAGGAATCTTTTTAGCATCTGCATGAAAAAACGACTGAAAATTCCAATATCCCAAGATTTCATCCAAATTGGCCAAACAAACGAACAGGAAAAAATAAATGCGATGAAGACTCGTCTTCAAGATTACAGAAAGAACACAAAGTATCATTTATGCCCCGAACACCTCTTAACCAAAGCTGTCTTGACCGCCAATTCTTAATATAACTTGCCAAAGAAAAGTCAACTCTTGGAGGCAACGACCCCTCCAAACATTATACTTCCAAAATTTAGCTTCCTCTGAATCGGGAGAACCCGAATAAGATAGGTTGACACATGATTTCACAGTGAAACCCCTTCCCCATTTCCCCTTCCAAAACAGTCCATCAGTGGCATCAGCAGAAATAGAGAAATCAGAGATAACAACCATCAAATTTGCCCATGCTCAAATTCCCAGTCATTCAACTCTCTCCTCAACTGAACATTCCAAATCCAACCCCTGAACTGAACTCCCCAAACTGAGATAATCTTCCTCTTTATTTACTGCAATAGAAAATATTCTAGGGAACAAAACCATCAAAGGATGATCCATGTCCATTGTCTTGCCAAAACCGAATGTTCCTCCCATTGCCAATTTTAAAGCTATATTTACCTCTGATACTACAGCCCAACGATCAGCATTATAATGATTTCACCATACTCCCACATCCAGGATAGTTTAGGAGAGACTTTACTGTCAAAACTGCATCAAGGAAGGATCCAATTATATTTGATGCATAGCATTTCCCTCCAAACCGCCTCCCTCTCAATAGCAAACCTCCAAGCCACTTTTCCAAAAGTGCCTATTCACCACCTTTAAATTAGGAACCCCCAATCCTCCTTCAATTTTTGTTTACAAACATCGGACCAGCTTACCCAATGTATCTTCTTCTCCCATCACCACCACCCCACAAAAAATTGACATGATAGAATTTAGAGTCTTGTAAACTGAAGCTGGAACCTTGAACATTGACAAAAAGTAAATCGGGAGTGAGCATAGAACTGATTTAATTGAACTAGCCTGCCTGCCAGTGACAGAGAGGAGCCTTTCCAGCCCGCTAACCTCTTATTAAAGCTTTGAACCACTGGATCCCATAGAATGTTGGAGTTCCTATGTGGACCTAGAGGGAGACCCAAATATTCTGAGGGAAAAGAGCCCACTGAACATCCAATCATAGCTGCCCAACCCTTAATTTCCTCTTCCTTTAAGTTCACTCCAAATAATTTACACTTCTTTAAATTCAGCTGGAGACCAGAAATAATCTCAAACACCCGAAGAACCCTCTTTACATTCAAGATCTGTTTTTTCCGACGCCCCACAGAAACATAATAAGGTCGTCAGCAAATTGCAAATGGGTTAAATTAAAATCCCTCTCGTCTTTTCTAATGACAGTCCCGAAAAAAGCCCTCGTGAAACAGCCTTCGCTATTAATAGATTCAATAGTTCCCCAAACTAAATTGAACAACAATGGAGGACAAGGAACAGCCTGCCGAAGACCCCTCGCCATAGGAATTTCCTCAGTAGGAACCGTTCACCAAAACTGAAACAGTCGCTGAAGTGACACATTTCGAAATCCAACCTATCCATCTAGAACCAAAGCCCATTTCCTTCATTATTCTGAACAAAATAGGCCAGTCAAGAGTATCATATGCCTTCTTGAAATCAGCCTTAAAAACACACCCTTTTAAACCATTCTTCCTCCAAAAGTCAATCCCTTCATTTGCTATAAGAGAACAGTCCAGGATTTGCCGACCGGGGATAAAAGCGAATTGACTTGGACTGATCAAATCTGAAATGCAGCTCTAAGTCTTCTGACAAACATTTCGAGAGTATCTTATACAATCCACCAACAAGGCTTATAGGTCTAAAATCGTCCAGACCAGCAATGTTAGAAATCTTAGGAATAAGAGTGATGAAAGTGTGATTTACACCATGTTCCCATACTTCCCCAAGTAAAAATTATGAAGAATTTCATAATATCTACCTTAAGGAACTGCCAAAACTCTTAAAAAATCCCAAATTAAAGCCATCAGGACCCGGAGCTTTGTTGCTGCCACAAGATTTCACACTTCCACAATTTCCTCCTCAGAAAACTCCTGTTCTAAGAACTGCTTTGCTCCAAAAAAATTCTGGGAAAATCCAGATTCAAATCATCAATCTCTAAAGTAGTTCGTTCATTATAGATCTTAAAAAAATATCTTTAACTATGGCCTTAATTGCCGTTGGGTCTTCAACTCCCCTTTGAAGTTTAAAGCAAGTAGAGCATTCCTTTTATTCCTAATCGTAGCACAAGTGTGGAAGTATTTAGTATTGCGGTCCCCATCAACAATCCAATTAGTTCTCGAGTACTGAAACCAGATCTGCTCCTGAATCTTGTGAAGCTTCCACAATTTGCTCTTAGATTTTCAATTCAATTAATACCTCATGTCAACAGTTCCTGCTTCTGTTGAATGTCATCCTATCAACGAAATCTTCTTCTCTAACTCAGAAATCAAAGCACCTGGATACTTCTCTTGTTCCCAGACCACTTCTTAATTGCATGTTTGGTGTTCCTCATCAGACTAAAAACGCCTGCCTCATTCTGACTATCCTTACCACTCTGAAAAGAAGAAACAACAGATCCTCAAAACCCTCCTCATCCATCAAATAATTGAATAATCTAAAGGGTTTTCTACCCCAGTCCACCCCTTTATTCTCCAGACTATAGCATTATGATCTGACAAAGATCTTGGTAGAAGCGACTGCACACGCCGGAAACAGCTCTAGGAAACGACAATCAACCAAAAAAAACGGTCCAATCTAACAAAAGTGGGATTATCTTGGTTATTACACCAAGTGAACCTACCCCCGTTCAAAGGAAGATCAATCAAGCCCGTATGAAGAATGAACTCATTAAAGATCTCCATGAACTCTACTTGACCCTTCCCAACTTCTCATTCTTGTAAATATACATTGAAATCCCCTCCCACACAAATGGGATAAGTCTGTCCACTAAGAAAACTGCTCAATTCTTCAAAAAACCAGATTTCTCCTCCTCCACTGTGGACCGTAGACATTAATGAAACCACACCCGGATCAATACTCCGAAGTTTACCGAAAGTAGCTATGAATCTCCTGCTAACAAACTGATTCCCAGCTCAAAAAACATTGTCATCCCAACACCACAACAGGCCCCCCGCTGATCAACTGAAGGAGATTCCAAAATTCCTTTTAGTTTTAATTCCACTTCTCCTAAAAAAAGACTTCCTAAATTTCTCAGTCTTAGTTTTGCAGCCAAAGAAAAGTAGGATTAAGTTGGAGACTAAATCTGAACAGCCCTCTTTTTCTCGTTTTTCCCCAAACCCCTAACATTCCATGAACATATTACTAGCTTGTCATCATCAAAAAGGAAATAGGTGCAGACACACTCCTCAATCAACCAATCCATTATTAACCCATTTACGCTTTCTCTAAAGCTATGATTTATCCAAAAAAGGCTTCTTTCCCTTCCTTAAAAGACACACCAAAAGCTTGCTAACCTCCCAAGTTTCCACCGCTTCTTTCAACAGAATCGAAAAAGCTGAGGAGGATGCTGTATCAATGCTCACTGGTCTAGGGCTTCACGATACAGGATCCTTTTAGTTCTTCTCTTCCTTCTAATCAGCAAACCAGATTTGGACTTTAAGCAATCCCTTTGAAAAGTAACCTTCAATCTCCCTTCCTACAACTCCCACCCCATATCCATTGTCAAGATAAGGATCAAGATCCCCTCAGCAAGTTCTTGTGATAAACAGAACTGAATATTAGTACTGGAATCACATCTAGCCCCTTGCTTAACTACGGCACCCCTGTTTCAGACGAGATGTTCAAAAAATCCATACCAGTATCTTCTTTCCCTCTGACCTGTTGTAAACCCTTTTGCAATTGCTCAGACTTCTAGTTCCAGCACATTTACTCTGTTGTAACTCCCTTCTAGAGCGAAGTAATGCCTCCCCTTGAGTTGTTATTTGAACCTGTTCCAATGGTCTTAAATTTTCTTCTTCGGGGTCTATCTCTACACTAAATGGCTTCTCTACAATTGGACTCGATTCCATACCTTGGACACTCCCCTGCTTTTTCTGATAAATGAAGTTTCAACCAATTCCCCAAACTTATTAATGTATATGCTGGCCCAGAATAAAACCCGAAAAGTTTTGACCCAGACTGCCCAGAATCTTCAGAATGGGCCTGAGATCCATCAGCCGAATAATTTTGACTTCTAATCCCAAACCTGCATACTCACCAACTTTAAACTTTCCAACAGTATGACTTTCTGACAGACCACATTTACTTTCTGACAGACCACATTTACTATCTTTCCTATCTAAGGAAAGTCTTGCTAGCTGTCTGTCCTCACTAGCTCCTCCAGAAACACGAAACACTCCCTGGTCAATCCAATTGTCCACTGACAAACGATTTCCCCTTCTGCGCAAGTCTCACCTTCCCCATGAACTGACAACAATCTGTCTTCATCCTTCTCAGACATCCTCTCTTCAAAAAATATCTCACCGGAATCCTCCACCGGAAAATTATTGAAAAACGAACTAGAATATTCACTAGCTGATCCAATCTTGATACTTACTTTGTATGATCTTCCATACGATCCAAGAGTAATAACCTCTGGAACATCAAAAGGACTTTCCACCTTCAATAAGATTCTTGCCATTGTGAGATCTTCTCTTTTCCTTGTATTATCATGGATATCTACCACACTGCCCCATCTACCAGCCAACTTCTCGAAGAAGGGTTCATTCCAGCATAACAAGGAACACCTTTTAATTCCGCCATGCAGAAGGCACTGAGAGTGGACTCATCAGGTGAGCATGAGCATGAAGGAGATATTTATTTACATGTTGATTGATCTGCCTTCTCTAACATTGATTTAAATTTGTTTGGATTTTTCCCCAGCCTAGTAGGCATATACCTAACAGAATCATACAACCAATTGCAGAGCATTCAGAATATCCAGTTGAGGGACTTGGTACATTTCGTTCCCCCTTTCTTATCAATGTTTTGTTAACTATGTTCTCTTTCGACCTCTAGGTACATTAATCTGACCTTTGGGCATGGCTAATTTTACGAAGGTGTCTCTTTTCTATGCTTATAACTATCTGCATTTGATTTCAAAAGTTAATAGCAGAAAGTAGCATTTTGATACAAAAGCAATTTCTTTTTAGAATTTCAAATTATAAAATTTGACAAAGAAAAAGTATTATTTTACTTATATTTTGAAACCTTTATATTTGGGTTTGTTGTTCCTTTTAACTGAATGTAAAATTGTTCTGTTTGCTTTATCACAAAAGATAAGCAAATGGCAACATACAAATGCTGGTCTCAGAAGTTGCAATAAAGCAGTGCCTATGAGGCTATAATTATAGCTGTTTAATGTTGGCATGTTTTATGAGCTTTTGTCTATATGAACGTATGTTACATGTGTTTGCTTTATTAGTAAACTAGGAAAGCAAGAGGCCAATATTTAAAAGCTGGTGTGAAAAGTGAGATGCTGGTTTTGCCTAGTGGCCGCTTAATATTAGCATGCTCTATATCCCTGTTCAAGCAGACAAAAAACGCCATCTTTTCTCAGCGTCCGGGCTTACTTTTATATAACGGTGTAAGAGGTGTTGTTAATTGGTGTTCTCATGAACAACCGACTACACTCTTAATTCAAAATCGGATCTGTGCTTTAAGCTTTGTATTCTTTGCTCTTAGAGTTGGTCATTTTCTTTCTATGCTTTCCTTGCTGGAATTATTTTCTCTTTCTCCCTGATTGCTGAAAATGCTTGCCTGTTTTCTATTTGTAGCTTTTTATCATGATAGAAGATTTCTTGGTAGTATATCACATGATCAGATGTTGAAGGTGTGTATTTCTCTCCCTCTTTGGTTGCTTGAAAACTAGAAATTTACCTCGTATATTCTTTGGCATATGAATGATTGCATCGTGCATGGAGAATTTTCGTTGGCAAAGTCGTAAACTGTATGGAAGTTATTCGCTGCAAAAATCAGTGTGACGGTTAGCACTTGTAACAAGTGGAGCCAGTAGCTTGGGATAATCCAGATGCTTTGGTGGATGACTTCATTACATCTGACTAAAGTGCAATGTAATTTATTTATGTAATGCAGTTGTGGGATCTAAATGATATATTGCAAAGTTCTGAAAGCACTGTAAAAGGTCAAGATGCCAGCTCAGACACTGATAGTGATGAGGTGGAAGTGGATGATAATCCTCCTCGTTCTAAGAAAGGTATGCTTGCTCTCGTTTCAACCTTGACAAGACATTTTCACTTGAAGACTTTTCTTAAGCTAATATAAAAAAATTAGCATCCAAGTATCATCAAGAATTCCCAAAGTTGGCATTCAGTTCATTAAATGGTTTCATGTTTCTTGTATAACATGACATAGGTTTCAACTGTAGCCATGGAGAATTGATATATAGTTGGAAGAACATTAGAACTTTGTTGGATGTCTATGATTGTGATTAGTTGTGTTGTTTGCAGGGACAAAGACTAAAAATGCAAATAAAGGAGCTGGTTTTAGCGGTTCAAATACCTTTTTGGCAGATCTTTAGAAATTTTGGAGGGTTGGTTGGTGGTTTTACCCATGATGGGTGCATCCCCGTTGCCATCAAAGAGTTTATATAAAACATGATTTTGTTATTATTATGTATGATTACTCTTCAATAAAAAGTATGTATGATCTCTCAATCATATTTTATATTATAGTCCAAATAATTCGTGCTACACACACATACATGTCTAGCATTTCTTTTTCTTTTAGAAGGGGGGAGAGTTGTTTCAACTGTAAATAAAAGAACAAATGAAATAAAACGATTGTCAACCAGAATTCCACCCTGCACAAAAGTATTATTATATTAGAAAAAACGGGTAATTTATATCAAAGATAACTCGATTATTCATTACAAATGAATCAATGAAAATTAGTGACTCATTTGTAATATTACGAATAACTGAGTGACGTGTATTTTATCTAAAAACAAAAAAGGTAAACTAGAAAGGAGCAGAAACGACGTCGCGCATTCCTTGCAAGTCCAGGTCTTGGAAGTACTCCATTTCATTGAGATCCATGGTGGTATCTATGTTATCTCCCGCAGGGCAAACCACCGGCTCTAATCCCTGTTCATCATCCCAAAGGAAGGTATCTATGTTATCTCCTGCAGGGCAAACCACCGGCTCTAATCCCTGTTCATCATCCCAAAGGAAACAACAATTTAAAACAACTTTTTTTAGTTTTCTGATTAAAAAAGTGACTAAAATTTATTGAAAAATAGAAACAATACAAAGGTTAAATTAGTGTACAACTAACAACTCTTCATGCACTGAAGATAGAAACTTCGTTTCTAATGAAACTATTACAATTATTGTTTATATATGAAGGGCCTTAATGAATGCACCAAGAAAATTATACATGAATTATTTGAGTATTTATAATAACCACCTCCTCACTCTAAAGTTGGAGGATAATCAACCTTCCATAAATTTATATTTAAAAAATACTAAATATTACACGAACCAAGCGACTTTGGTGGTAAAAATATTATTATTATTTTTTGAGGTATCAAGTTCGAGTACTACGAACGTCAGGAGTACGAGCATTCAAAAAAATTATCTTTGTATTTACCCCAGATTAATAGAAAAACTATACTAAATAGTAAATACATTCATCCAACACAAACTAAATTTATGTGATTATTGTTTTAACTATATGTGATTATATTTTGCTTATATACTTCAGTGTATCATAATATCTTATATTTTATTAATTTTAATTTATATTTTAAGCATATTATTCGTATTACTGTTTCATATATCATGTTTAGGTCCCCGAAATATACTTCCATCACGTTGCTCTACTTACATATATATATATATATATATACAGATTTTCTGGTAGAGCTTTCAAGTTTACAGTTCCAACTGATAATCGATATACCATGCCCTATACGTAGACCGTTGTTATTATCGTATTTAAAATATTATATACTCATAAAACCTTAATAAATAAAATAATAATCTTTTGTAATGATAAAATCTAATCAACAAAGTGGTGTTTACTTGAGCTAAGTTGAGGGGAGGGGAAAAGATTGTTACCTGAGTGAAAATAGACATGGCTTCTTCGATGGTTCTGGTACTCACCACATACATGGCAGCCTCCTGTTTCAAAACTCAATCCAGTCAAAACATATTCAAAGATAAATAAATGAAGGGAAAGAAGGTTAAAAACATACCCTAGCACCTTGGATTTGATCAATACTCAACGTTCTGGGCTCGCACTCGATCGAAGATGTTCTATGAAGCTGTGCTTCCATTTGTCACTGATCCTTTTGTCCTTGTTGAAAAAACCTATCGTGAATTGGATTTCCACCCAAAACCTTCGTGTGTATATATATACATACACACAGAAAGGGTTGGGATTTTAGTTAAACCGCACTACGTAATTGTGTAACGTGGCACCGTTTTACCTCGGACGACGTGGCCGCATTTCGGTAGGTCGACGTACCACGTGGTGTCCGATGAAGAAGGTCCTGGTCAGACAGGACGGAGCTTAGGTTTTTTTAGGCGGTTGGGTAAATGGCGTATGGCACATGAACCAATCAGGGATGACCACGACCTTGTTGGGAATGATTTTGCGTGGTGGCCTTGGATTTGACCCCATGTCGACGAATACGTGGGTGAATCATGGTGGGGATTTTTGTCGTCATCGGGTCCACTTTATAGATAGAGCGTCGAATTTCATGCACGTGAACCACATTTTTTTTATTTTTACTATTTTCCAGTTAGGTTTGATTTGATGTGATGGGTATCGAAATTCTATTGTATTATAATCTTAATATATAACTAAGGAAAGATATTATCGATTTTTTTTAATATTTTCAGTAAAAATTTACTTAAATCATTATTATTTCTACGTAAAATATTAATGTTTATTAACATTTCAGGTAAAGCGCCCAATAATAATAAAATATGTAAAAAATAATGTTTTAGGTAACACTTTACCGTATATGTTAACAAAATAGGTAAAACACCCAATAATAACAAAACCGATAAAAATAATAATATTTTAGGTAATTTTTACTGAAAATATAAAAAAATAATAACAAAACTGATAACGCCATTTATTAATTGTATATTAAGACTGTTGCATTCACGAACTGTTTTTATTTTTACTATTTTTTAGTTAGGTTTGATTTGATGTGATGGGTTAAACTAACAGTTTTTATTTTTACTATTTTCTAGTTAGGTTTGATTTGATGTGATGGGTTACACCAACAGTTTTTATTTTAAAATCAATCTAATCACCTTAAATTAATATAAAATTATGAAAGATGTTATTAGAAACCCAACATTTCTTAAAATTTTTAAACTAAAATTATTATTTTCATATTTTATAATAGTAATACATAAATGCCATTTTAAAATAAAAATATAATGTTTATCATCAATTATTAAAATTTTAATTATTATTTTTTTTATAAATAAAATAGGGAGAAATGTGAAGTGGGTGAAATTCTGGATGTGTTTGGGGATGTGCATCATACTCGAATCCGACTCGATTGGGTTGAGTTTTTTAAATTGGGGTTTGAGTCAGGTCAAATTTTTTAAAGGTGATGTTCAGATCGGGTCGGATTCGGTTTTAGGGTGAAAAATACCAGATCCAACCCCAAAAAAAATATAATTTTACCTTATATATTTAAGAATAATTATAATAATATAACTCTATATATTATTTTTCAATTAAATTACTAATTTTATTAAATAAAAATAATATTTTATTATTATTTCGGGTCGGGTCATATTCAGATTTTATCTCAAAAAGTCGAGTTAAATTCAGATCAGGTGAAAAATATAAAAATTTTAGGTCGCGACCATGCCCATCCCTAGATGTGTGTCACCAAATCCTTTACCTAGTACGTTAGAGCACTATTTGTTCTCATTTCGTCGAACCTAGTTTACCACCCTTACTTTGACTCGCTAACGTTAACAACCAAAATAGGGAATATGAATTTTTAATAAAGTTATATTAAAAATTTAAAAGGTATTAAATTAGATGGTTAATAAAAATATAAAAATTAATTAAAATTTTAAATTTTTAAAAAATAGGATCATCTCCCCAATACTTCTCTTTCACTTATACTTGTCATTTTGACATGTTTTATAATATGGATTTTGAAAATATACAAAGACACATACAATTATAAAGATATATATAATCAAAACATACTAGAATTATATATAACACAGAAGAGTCCGATAAATTAAAGTATGAATGTATACATGACTACAACTAAACATTGTAGTATAATTAAACTAAAATAGACCCTAACTTGAATTAGACATATTCGAAGGAAAAAGAAAGAAAAATATTTTTGCTTTTCTTAAGGAAAAAAGAGATGGAGAGAAGACTTTATCCTTAATTAGGTTGAGGACGTAGGACATGTCTTTGTCCCTTAAAGACTAAAGTCATCATCCAAATCAGCTAACAATGACTAACACTCAAATTCCAATCATACCAAATCATCTACATAATTGAAAAAAAAGAGATCATCTAAATCTAATATGAAAGACTTGCCAATTATTTATTGGCCTCATAGTAAGATATTTATGTTTATAAATCAACTTAAATTGACTGCCACCATTTGATGCCACACACAAAGATAAAACTGAGTAATGAATTTTATTTATTTATAATTCTGTGTTTAAATTTGTTCTTAATCTTATTCACGAATAAACTAGGAACATCTTAGTCAATTTGTGTTATTTAAAAATGCAAACACAACTGAAATCAATATACATTTATAGTATATCCCTACAAAAGTGAACAAATCAAAGCCGGCTGTGCTTTCATCAGGAAGGGCCAAAAGTTGGCCTAAGCTACGTCATGAGGTCTAAACTTGATCATACATGTAGGGATGCCAATGAGGCCGTCCTGATTTTGATTTGAAAAATAAAATTTTAGATTTTAATAATCCAAAAATAACTTAAAATTAGAGATCTAAACAATGGATTCGAATTTTAATAGTAAAAATGAAAATGAGAGGGGGTATTAGTTGGAGTTTGAGAAAGATCTTCTCGATGAGGATGGAAGTGAGGCGTTTGTTTACCACGCCTGCTAATTTGAGCCAATTCCGTACCAGCAAGATTTGGTATGAGACGAGAGTTAGGAGGGAGAAGGTTTCTTGTCACAAGTTGTTGTGGTTTTCCACTCCATGATCCTCAACATGGGATTGTATCGAGGTTGGCCATTATGGAACGGTTGGCTACAAAGGATAGATTGATGAGGATAGAGATTGTTGCGGATGTGAGAATCCTGCCATGGAGGCTGAGAGTGATGAAAACTTAAAGATGCAGACATGACAGAATGAAGCTTTTATTGAGCATTGAAGAAATACTCTGCATACAACCTAATACAAGTATGGCTTATATAGCTCAAGTAACCAACAAACCATAACAAACTAATAACAAGCTAATAACAAACCATAACAAACTAATAACACTCTAACATTCACTCTACTTTTCAACCTTCTAATTTTCTTCAAAATGAACTTGCTATTAGAGAGTTGATCAAACAAAGAATGCAAATTTAATAAGTTGGAATTCAACTGTCTTGCCGTCTTGATGAACAATTTATCGGACAATTCTCTTTCACCTAAAAACATCTTCTTTCTTCAACTTTCCTCGTGTAACAACCCGAATATTTACAAAAATAATATTTAATTGGAATTGGAGGTTAATTGTGAAAATTGGCAAAAATTGGGGACTAAATTGAAAGATTTTAAAATTTGGAGCTTGTTTTAGAGTTAAAAAAAATTCATGGATCAAACCCTGAATTTACCCAAAATAATTAGGTAAGTTTGGGTATATATGTGGTATCGTGGTTTTCTGTTTCAAACAGAAAACCACGCCCAAATTCCCTTTCCCTACGTCGGTTTCCGACCTCGATTCCGGCGTCGTCCGAATTCCGATCGTCGTTTTAAAACCACCGTTGTGTTCATCTTCAAGCGAGGAACAAACCCTTCAATTTAATTGAAGCGAAACGCTGCCAAACGTCGGGAATTTCTAGTCAAAGTATCGACGTTATTTTAAGCTCCATCGCCGAGAAAATCTCAAATTCACCGCCGATCGTTGCTCCGTTTACGACACCTCCTGCACCATCGTGTTCCTTGTGCTGTTTCGAGTTCACCGGTGTCAACCTTGTTCGCCGTCTACGGCGGCGCGTGAGGAGGTGGAGCAGTCAAAGTTTCGGCCGAGTTGAAATCGAGCTCTCCGCCGTTCAAAAATTTGAACCGATTGTTGTAAGTATCTCGAAATCGCTCAAAATAATTTTTAGGAATTTTTTCGGGAATTTTCCGACACCGTAGTACTGTTCACGCGCCGCACGCGCCGCCGCAGGGAGAGTGAGCTGCTGGAAAACCGGTTTGACCAGTTTTGAACCGGTTTGACCGGTCTGAACCGGGTTGACTCGACCCGACTGTTAACCCGACCCGACTGTTGACCTGACCCGACTGTTGACCCGACCCGACCGTTGACTGGACCGTTGACCGTTGACTTTCTTTGACCAAAACTTAAAGTGGCTTTGACCGACCCTTAAATAACCGTAAATCTTTTCCGAGTATACCTATCCTGATAGTTTTCGACGTGCCTAATCCATTTCTGCAGTCCGTTTCACCAAATTCGAACCCGAAGGTCTCTAAATTGACTGTCAAAGTGGTTGACTTTGACTTTGACCAAGAATTTGAATTTTCGAAAAGTCATACTTTATGTTTTTCGATGTCCTGATTCTGATTCCGCAATCCGTTTGGCCAAATTCAGGCTCTAAATCCTCCAAATTGATAGTCAAACCCAGAAAATGCTTATATACTTAAGAATTTTAGCTTTGAACAATTAAGTAAGATTTGGGGTTGATAAATTATTATTATTTGAAGGTACACGAGACTCTCCGGATCGTTCAACAGCTCGACCCAACTCTTCTAGATCAGTTAAATCACGTATGCCAGTATTCACCCGTAAGACCCGTAAATTTTATGATTTTAGAGATTTATTTATGTTACCCATAAGTAATATAGTGTTACTACAAAATAGGTTCGAAAACTATAGCAGAGCGTGGTGAAACCAGCAATCAGTAGATCTACTATTTGAAACTATTATCGAGGTGTGTTCCCTATTTATTACTGAACTGTTTTATTTGTTTTAATATGTGGTACACTGAATTCTTTGGTTACCGTATTGTTGATGCACCGATTTAATGTGATTATTTATGGATTATGACTGTTATCTGATATTTGTTTTGAAATGGTATATGATTACCATGTTTATGGATTTA